AGATGTGAATGTAATAAATATAATGGTATCAGTGTGTGGTAATGTTTAAAGAACCTTGTGTCTATTTATGGTTTTAATTACAAATATACATGGGGGCAGCTATATTGGCATGTTAGCTATGCATGGTGTGCTTCCTGCTTGTGATGCTGCATGGTAATTGTGCTGTGTTGCTAAACCTATCTGCAAAATGTATGGGTCAGCTTAGCCCCCTATTTATTTATTGCATAGGATACAACACCTAGATCACCTTTTCTCTATCAGGTTTCTAGGGAAGTTTCATCCAGAGATTACTAGAGTTTCCTTGAGCAGTGAACCGCGGTGAACTGATCTCCCATCTAATGATGCCTGCATAGCTCCAACTCCAAGACTGATATCGCCCAGTCGCCTAGGTCCAGTGAAGGTTACAGTCTCTAACCACTGACACAAAAGATCTTAATAGCTATCTAAGGGGTCATAATTTCCACTCACCGCTGAGGTAACAGAGCATGTCTAATGACTATCAATACAAGGGGACACTACACTAACCACCAGTGTTAGGGGGAATTTCTCCATTGACCTCCATTGTTAGGGGGTTCTCATCCCTTTACCCACCAGTCTAACGGTACACCTCTCTCACTGACCTCCATTCTAAAAGGACACCTCCCCAATGACCTGTAATCCAAAGAAACACCTCTATTCCACGTGGACACCTCTCCCACTGACCACGATTCTAAGTGGACACTTCTCCCACTGACCTTCACTCTAAGGGGACACCTTGCACACTGACATTTGTTCTTACTGGACATCTCTCCCACTGACCCTCAATCTAAGGGAACATCTCTCCCACTGACCTCCATTCTTAGTGGACATCTCTCCCACTGGCCTTCAATCAAAGGGGACATCTCTTTCACTGACTTCCTATCTAAGGAGACACCTCTAACACTGGTCAACCAATGAAGTGGGACCCTTCTCCCACTGACTACAAATGTAAGAGGTCTCTTCTCTATTGATCTATTTGATCTATTGATCTCTATTGAGCAGGCCCCTTTGGGAAGTTATTTTTATCAGCTTTACTGCGCACAATAATTTTGTCATATATATCAAGGTTTGGTAAAAATATTATAGCTACAACTTAGTGATCACGCTCATTCCCTATAAACTGCAGGTATAATAATTTTAGTAACAGTTCCCTGAAAATTATTTGAAGGATCCATCTGTGGTATAAAGTTTGAGAAAAATCTTATCTTATTTTATTTCAGCAGTGTCATTTTTTAAGAAGGATGCTGAATGCACTCCATGGAATACTGCTAGGGGTAATTTAAACATGCTTATATAAAATACAATTATGAAAGTGCAGAACAAGTACTATTACAAATTAGAAATTTGCATTCAGGTGGACTTAAAGTAGTTGTAAACCCTTACATATACCCAGTTAAGTGACTGATCTCAGGTAAGACACAGAGATTAAACAAATCCTCCAAAATAAGTTGTACTTGTTTATCTGCCGTCGTCTGTTCTCTATAGCCATTCAAAGTGCTGAAAAAAGGGGGCAGAGAGCTGAAGTTACACTCTGCAGAGCTTAGTGAGAAAAGCTCTGAGAGATGAATGAAGGAAGGAAGCGGCACACCCCTCTCCACATAGCACAGGAACAGAGCTGAGGCTGTCAATCTACTGGAGGTCCCTCCCCTGTCACCATTTTTCTCTTGGTGTCAGGAAGACATGTCAGAAGTGATTCATGCAGATAGCAGAAGAATGAGGCAGCAGACAGAAATTACACTTTAGTGCTCCTAATTGAGACAAGTATACACTATAATATAGGGATATGCTTGGCTCACATTTCATGTCTGAGATTTATAACCACATTAATATCTCACAATGTGTATTTCCTAAAAAAAAAATTGCCATTCATTCCCATTAGCATCTGAGCTATTCAAGGACGCTGGGGCTGGTCATAGCTGTGTACTCCCATCCCATCTCACTGTTATCTGAATACGACATGCATGTGAAGCAGCAGTAGTATAACCATTGATTTTTAAATAGAGCCTCCACTGAACAACAGGGGGATACACAACCTAATACACTGGCATCTTGGTCTGTTCATAAATCAACTTCACAGCTTGTGGCAGAGCAATGGCGGATGTTTCAGCGTGGAAATGAAACGTCAGGGACATGTTACTTAAAAATGCATCAGCCACTGACACAAGACAGCAGAGTCCTCTTTTGATCAAACTGAGCTCCTGAATGATTTAATTTGTAGATTTGACAGTAAGTATTGAATTGAACAGGGAAGACAAATAGACAAGGAGAGACCAAGGGGACATGAGATGATGGCTGAATAGAATATGTAATGATGGAAGAGGTGAAGGGATATTGTAAACGAAATTATTTTGGAACAACAACCAGCTTGACTTCATCTAATTATTTATTAGAGTATGTCACCGGGAAGGCTTTATGACAACAAACAGAAATCTATATGCTAAAGTTGTTACGTTGTGGAATAGCGTTAACAGGAGATCCTAGATTAATTCATCGGCTGTGATTTTAGATGGTGGAACAAAGAATATTTGACACTTATAAGGTAACAGCATACAGTAGGCATAGCAAGGGCATCCCTGCAACAATAAGAATTTGATGATGTGTTCTAACACAGTAGTAGAGATAATAAGATATACAGTAACATTTCAAGGTTTGGACCTGAGCCAGTGAACGAACCATAAGGCGGAGAGGACAAAGTGTAGGACAGTAGGAAAAATTATTCAATGTAAAAAATTATATATATATATCAAATATAAAGAGAATAAAGAGGGTTTGGTAATGCTAATGACATTTTTTTTACCTATTTAGTCATTTTTTATAGATACTCTAGGGCAGCCTATCTCAGCCAGGGTTCTTTGGAATTCTAGGGTTCCTCCAGAGGTTGCTAGGTGTTCTTTGAACAATTAACAGTTTCTGCCTCTGATAGGTAACCACTGACAACAATAATCTTTTAACCACTTGCTGCCTATTGTCAAATGACTGCCGGGCGAACACCTCGTTCCTCTGGGAGGGCGTCATATGACGTCCTTCCTGGATCGTGCTTTGCGGTCACGCTGTGGTGAGATCGGTCACCGGCCGTGTACCTCAAACATGGCCGATGACAGATCTGTGTACTGGCCCCGTTGGCAGTACCATGTGACCTGCTGTGACCAATCACAGCAGGTCACGTGACAGTTGTATACAATGGATGGCTTCCTTTCATGCCATCCATTGTATACAAGTGTGTCTAGCTGTGAATGGTCACAGTGATCACATGCACAGGCTGAGCCAATCACAGCCCATGTGTGTCATGTGATTAGCTGTGGCCAATCACAGCTAATCACAACAAAAAAAACCTGAATTAATTGATTTCATTCAGTTAAATGCTTGCTTATAGCAAAGACATTCTTTGCTATAAGGAATCAAATTGTGTAAAAAAAAAATACTGATCACTTCCCCAAAGTAGTACAATGTTACTATGGTAACATTATACTACTTTGGTCATAGTGTAATATGAAAAAAAAATCTTAAAAAAGTGAAAAAAATTTAATAAAAATAAAACAAAAATAAAAAAATGTAAAAAAAAAAGATCAATTTCTTTTTTTCGTACTGTCACCAGTCAGTGTCCCTGATCACCGCAACACCAGTTATATGCTGATGCTGTACTGCACTGGTGACAGTATGTAAAAAATAAATTGTAAAAATAATTTTTTTAATTTCTTCATTTTCTTAAAAATTATGACAAAAAAATTACAACTTCAAAAAAACTCGCCATGCCTCTTATGAAATACATTGGACTGTCTACTTTGCAAAAAGGGGTCATTTGGGGGATATCTGTACTGTTCTGACATTTTTGGGCTTCAAGAAATTAGATTGGCTGTCAGTACTTCAGGATTGATCAATTTTCAATATATCTTATAGTTTGTGAACTCTATAACTTTCCTACAGACTAAATAATATTTATTAATTTGGGTTATTTTCACCAAAGAAATGTAGCAGAATACATTTTGGCCTAAATTTATGAAGAACAATTATTTATTTGCAAACTTTTATAACAGAAACAAAGAAAAATTTTTTGTTTATTTTTTGGTCTTGTTTTGTAAATTTAGAAAAAAATAAAAACCCCAGTGGTGATTAAATACCATCAAAAGAAAGCTCTAGTTGTGTGAACAAAATGATACAATTTTAGCTTGGGTACAGTGTTGCATGACTATGCAATTGTCATTCAAAGTGTGAGAGTGCTGAAACCTGAAAATTGGCCTGGGCAGGAAGGGGATAAAAGTGCCCTGTATTGAAGTGGTTAAGCTATCTTCCCAAGGACCACACATGTTAGGAGAATTCTTCCCAAAGATCATCATGCTAATGTACCCTGAGCTGTAGATATAGAAATTATTAGCAGGGGTTTCTTGAGATCGGAAAGTTATTTCAAGGGTTCCTCCATGTTAAAAGGGTTGGGAAAGGTTGTTCTAGGGCAGTGGTTTTCAACCTTCCTAATGCCTCGACTCTTTAATACAGTTCTTCATGTTGTGGTGACCCCCAACCATAAAATTATTTTCGTTGCTACATCATAACTGTAATTTTGCAGTGGGAGGAGTAGTGCCACATTATTGGTGTCAGTGGGAGGAGTAGTGCCACATCACTGATGTCAGTGGGAGGAATAGTGCCCCATCATTAGTGTCAGTGGGAGGAATAGTGCCCCATCATTGGTATCAGTGGGAGGAATAGTGCCCCATCATTGGTGTCAGTGTGGGAGGAATAGTGTCCCATCATTGGTGTCAGTGGGAGGAATAGTGCCCCATCATTGATGTCAGTGGGGGGGGAATAGTACCCCATCATTGGTGTCAGTGGGGGGAGGAATAGTGCCCCATCGCTGGTGTTAGTGAGGGGAGGAATAGTGCCCCATCGTTGGTATCAGTGGGGGGGAAATAGTGCCCCATCATTGGTGTCAGTGGGAGGAATAGTGCCCCATCATTGGTCTTAGTGACACCAATGATGGGGCACTATTCCTCCCACTGACCAATGATACTTACCTTGCTGACCCCTGCTCCAACCTGGGCTCGCTCCCTCTCTCTCTGATCTACAGCCAGCATACCTAGCTGCAGCAGCAGCACCATCTGCACGGTACAGACACTTACTGTTCAGCTGTCTTCCTTCTCCAGCCGCTCTCCTCTTCACTCGCTCTGGCAGCTCCCTCACTCAATCTTCTTTGATTTTTGCGCTGCCACTCGGCTCCTCCTCTCCAAGCTCCACCTCCTCGCCAGTGATTGGCTGCCTGTGTGCCCCTCCTGAGCTACAGTTCTGGCGGCCAATCACCGGCGAGGAGGCGGAGCTGTTGAGTGATCCAGGGGGTGTGGCCAGATGACAGGGGCAGAATGTCATCTTGCCCACACATCGCTGTCCAGGGAGATGTGGGCGTATCTGCATGTGGGCGCACCCACCTGGAGACGGATAGAGGAGCGGTGTCTCGGTTCCTAAGACCATCGGAAACATGTGTTTTCCGATGGTCTTAGGCGACCCCTGTGAAAGGGTCGTTCAACCTCCAAAGGGGTCGTGACCCACAGGTTGAGAACCGCTGCTCTAGGGGGTACTCTCAGGCTTTACAGTAGAAGAAATGCTTGCAGCGTTATGTGAGTTATATTTGCAATATTTATGTAGCACTACTCCCGTAGGAGCCGCAGGAATACTGTCCATGTCCTCCCCAGTTACATTGCCTTGCATCCAGGCACAAAAACTCATTCACACATTTCTCCAATAAGTCTAGGGTGTTGTTTTTATTCTTGAAGAATTGGGATAGGGATGAGGGAGGTGAGTGGGATACTCCAAAAATAGGAATTATGTACATTGAGGACTTTGTCTAATCTGCAGGGCAAGCTATGTCAGAGTCCTTGCTTGAGTCAAACAGTGGACTTCAGCTTTAAGGCAGTAGTAACAAAGTAGTAGTAACAAAGTAGTAGTAACTTCTTTAGAGCTCAGAACAGTATCCCTTTAAGATCACAACCAGGCAACTAGCATTTTCAGAAAGAATGGACAGGAATAACATTCTCTGAGATTCTTTCATGGCATGTTTCCTTTTTAATAGTTTATCAATGTAAGGGCAGGCTTGCTATTCAAGTATAGATTATAAAAATCAGTTTATTCTGAAAGAATTTTCAAATTTTAAGATTCACCCAGTTCTAAGAAGAGAATGGCAGCACCTATAGAAATGTAGCTACCATGGTATACAATAGCACAAGAGGAATGAAAGCAGAGCTGTACATGAATGAATTCTGTCTGATGAGTTAGTTTTAAAGGAAACATATTTATGTTTGCCTGAGGTATACTGATAAAGTGTATGTAATCCCTAACAATGATCTTCTCTAATGGCAGGAATACACAGTAAGAAAATCGTATGAAAAATGTTGATGATCAAATGATCGACCAATTTTCTCTTCGTTGATGAGCAGGATGTTATAACCGATAATGATATTGTGAATGAAAAAATCCGGTTGAACAACAGTGAAAAATATTGTCGTTTCGCATGCGAACGACTGATTTTCTTTGATGTGGCAAGATGGTCGTCCAAACAAAAATCTATCAAGCGCTATCATGCATGAACGGAAACAGAAGATGACCCAGATGTTTATGTCCAAGAAATCTTCGAAAACACGAACGAAAAATCCAAATGTTAAAAGTAGATTGGCCCAATGAGATAATGAAAACAGAATTTTGCATATTATATTTTTATGTATTACTATTTATGTATATAGGTAATGTAATAAACTATACTATACTCATTGCTGTTAATTGTTGTGTATATATCAAAATTATATTCTCATTTTTTTTTTGTTTTAAGATATAGATCATAGTATAAATAAGTTTTTATGTTTAAAAAAGTGTACTGTTTATTCAATTATACAATGGGTAAATTATTGAACATTTCACCATTTTTCTAGGTAAATACATTTCTAAAGGTGCTATTGACATGTCATTCCATTCTATTACACATTTAATTTCTGAACCTTTTTGTTTTGGTTTCTTTGTATGTATAGATTACATGGGTTTTTAACGACAACGTTCTGGGCGGCTGGGCGTTTAACGCTCGTTCTGGGCGGATGGGCGTGGCTACAAGGTCACACGCACAATGCATCACTTCCACTTGTACGGAAGATGTCAACACTACGTATTGCTCACCAATTTTTTTCGATTAGTTAATGTGGGCCACGATTTTGACCGACAAACACCAATCGGTCATCGGATGACTAATCGGTCGATTTTCTTACCATGTATTCCTGCCATCATTTGCTTCCTTTAGGTCTGCTATATAGCATTGAAGTGGTTTGTTATATCTATTTATCCTGCCATAAATCCAGTGATTTCCTTTGCAGTGAAGTAGTTTCCTCTTTCTACCCCATTCACCTTAGTGAACTACAGAACACTTCTCCTTTATGGTATTAGGAGAAGGGGAAGTGTTTTGGAGTCACACTTTCTGTCTTAGGGCGACAACACTGGTTCTTACTAGATACAGTGCAGTGAGTGGGTTGTCACCCTCGAATGGGAATTGTGTTAATAGAGGGTGAAAATATAGGGGAAAATGCCTTAAAATAGAAACCATGGTAGCCACACCTAAGTGCTGGTAAGCTACAATATCTTAATTTTTTTGTTCTTGGATTAGATACATTTTAAGGGCAGAGTCAAACTACCTTATGCATAGACACAATGACAAAGAACAACCACCCCATCACTCAACCACAGCCTAAAGTAAGGTGTGAGGGGGATGGGAGGGCAACTGCAATATTTCTCTAGTTCAGCTTTAATATTTAAAGACTAGTTCCACCCTTCGTATCATGTGTCACGTTGCATCCAAATTTAGGATGGAATATGGAACATGGTGCCATTCTGCATACCCCACGCTCATACAGTTCCCTTCCTAACTGCTCCTCCCTGCAGCATTCTGAATATTTTTTAATTTGGCGAGTCTGTGCATGGCCCCACCCATACAGCTGCATCATCCATTCACAGATCCATTCACAATATTGGTTTATAGGTATATTTTTTCATACAAAAAGTTGAATATCCTTTAAGAATCGGGGCTACAAGTGTATTTAATGTAGATCCAGACTTACGTAATTGCTAAAATCTTGTGTAAGCTTTAATACTCCAACTTTAATTCTCCAGAGCCTCCTCCATGCTCTGGAACTCATTACCCCAATCTATCAGGCTATCTCCTACTCTGCCCACTTTTAGGTGATCTCTGAAAACCTATCTCTTCAGGGAAGCCTATCCTGACTTCAGCTAATAACGGAATCTTCTATTCCTCCTATCAGTTCATCCCCCACAGTTATTCCTTTTGTACCACCAGCCCCTCCTTCTTAGATTGTAAGCTCCAAGGAGCAGGACCTTCCTAACCCTCTTGTATTGAACTGTATTGTGGCTGTATCGCTTCCCGTTATATTGTAAAGTGCTGAGAAAACTGTTGGCGCTATATAAATCCTGTATAATAATAATAATACTATACTTTATTTTCCTTTCAAAAGCCTATTTAAACCTCTTTTGCACCTGTTGATCCTGCTGTAAAGGCTTTAAGTGGTTGTAAAGGCTCAAAGTTTTTTACCTTCATGCATTTTATGCATGAAGGTAAAAAACCTTCTGTGTGCAGCAGTGCCCCCAACCCCCTCAATACTTACCTGAGCCTTATTGCGATCCAGCGATGTGCACGAGAGCCTCGGCTGTCCCAGGTCTCTGCTTCCTCATTGGCTGAGACAGCAAGTGGGAGCCATTGAGCAGAGGAGAGGGTGGGGACAAGCTGTGGCTCTGTGTGTGAATGGACACATGGAGCAGCGGGTGCCCCCATAGCAAGCTGCTTGCTGTGGGGGCACCAAAAAGGAGGGAGGAGCCAGGAGACCCTGCAGGGACCCGAGAAGAGGGGGATCTAGGCTGCTCTGTGCAAAACCACTGCACACAGTTGGTAAGTATAGACATATTTGTTATCCCCCCCCTCCAAAAAAAATGAACCTTTAGAATTGCTTTGAGTTCAAAGGTTTCTTTAATGTAGAGCATATTATAATTATTATTATCATGAATACTATTATTATTAGTAGTATTATATATCTAATAAAGTTTACATATCTACGTTATCTCAGCTAGATGCTAGTGTCTGATATGTACCTCTGTAGCTCTTTACAACTATTAGTGATTAGTCTATCAGTGAATTATCATCTGCAGGGAGAAAACATGAAGAATGAGGACACTTATGATAAATACTTTATCCTTTGAAGTGATGGAAGCACTATTTGTTTTGCTGTGTCATAAGATATGTAACCTACAGACAGATGTCTCCTTACTTAATCCTCACATTTCTATGCAACAAAGACAAACTATGCTACGACATCTCCTACATAACAACTTGCCACTTCAAAAAAAAGTGTAAAGATTATTTGATTAAAGCTGAACTCCAACCAGATATGAAAAACACAATTGAATGAAGTTAGGTATTTAAAATATCTTGATTGCAACTAGTGTGAATACCCTAGTTTGATTCTAGTATTTTGTAATCCCCTTTACAACATCACTGAGACTGGAAGAGGGAGGGACAACATTTACGGCCAATCAGGTATCCTGTAGGTACATGTGCTAACAACGAGCATTTTTTACAGGAGCAAAGAGCAAAGGGATGACACAATCTGTTTGTTGCTCACAGCAGACCAGATGTTCCAACACCATCCCATTATCTGGTGAATGCAGATGGAAAATGTGGAAAATTCTTATGTAATATATTGGATTCACTGAAAAAAGACAGAAATGAAAACATTTTAATATGGAGCCATGTTTTTTTTTTTAAATATATAAATACATTTTTGTAAAACTTATCTCTCATTTTTGCATATACTGAGTCCATCCATTCCAAAGTGATAGTTCAGTTTTGGTAGATAATGCTGAGTTAAAGAAGATGTATCACCAAAATTGTAAAACTCTTTTTGAATCCTGTCAATGTATGCAGCGCTTTACATATATATTGTACATTCACATCAGTCTCTAACCCTCAAGGGTGTACAATCTAAGGTCCCTAACTTACATTCATACATACACATACTAGGGACAATTTAGACAGGATCCAATTCACCTACTAGCATGTCTTTGGAGTGTGGGAGGAAACCGAAGTCCCTGGAGGAAACCCACACAGGCACAGGGAGAACATGCAAACTTCAGGCAGGTGGTGCCATGGTTGGGATTCAAACCAATAACCCTAGTACTGACATGCAGAAGTGCTAACCATTTAGCCACTGTGCTGCCGTACCTATAATAAATAAATAATAAATAAATAAATCCCCCAGGGGACCCAGGGCACATAGGTCCCGTTAAAATGTGTGTTGTGTTTTTTTATAAATATAATGACATTTCCATATCAGTGTTGGTTGTAGGTCCACACCAGGTTAAAGTTCAATTTATGGGTGTTCCCTATAGCCACCACTGAAGCCACCCCACTCTTTATTTTGTTAGCTCTGCATTCTAATCATGATGCCCTGTACTTCCTCTGCAATCTTCTTTTTCGCTGAAAAGAAAGCTATTGGACACAGATGGCAAAAATGGGGTTATAACCTTCCCTTACTCTATCCAAAAAGCAAAAAAAAAATGTTTTGCCTATTGTTCTACTTTAAAATAAAAGAATAACTACAGGTCAGGACTGAGTCTGAAAAACATTATTTATTCCACTTGCCTTATTTTTATTTTTTTTAAAGTGACAGTTATTTTCCATCCAATTATATTTAACAATTATTGTCATATGGCCTCAATAAAGATACTCATCTGTGAGTTAAAACTTTCTGCACTGAACCTATTAGGCTCAATTCCCAAAGCTAACCCACCAGTATAAATATTCTTATGTACAAAAAAGTGACAGTTATTTTCAGCTGAGCTCAGTGAAATTTAAAATTATAGTCATGTTGGTAAATTGCAGAGCATGATCCTCTGTTAAAGCTTTGTGAATTGAGCCTGTCGACTACAACAAAAAGTTTAATTGCAGTATGTTCTGACTTCTCTCTAAGGACATCCATGTACAGTATATTAGGCTAAAAGTGCTCTAGTATATCAGTGTCTCATTGAAAGTATATGTTGCTATGCCTTCCATAAAGCAACACCTAAATACATACAGAGACAAAAATGGTCTACTTTACAAATACATTTCATAATAAATTTCATGGTTGATTGTATGCCTATCCAGCTGTTACAAAGAGATTTTCCAAAGGGGCTGCCGAAATGAAGGGGCTCTGATATTCTAATGCAGCAAATGGCATCCTCCAGTGGCTGCTCCTGGATTGTAATAACAAGCCAGCACCCTTCAGCTTGACATGAAAAGAAGAGTCAGCATGATCTGGCATAAAAGGCATCCTTTTAATAGCAGAGTAAAGTAAATTCATTTTTAAAGCTCTATGCTAATGTACTCACGCAGCATTATGGCTATAAAGGATTCTAATGAAACTATAACCAAGTCCATTAGCACTTATTCAACGGATTATTATAATCCTTCAATATTATTGGCCAAGCTATAAATAAATCCTCCTTGAAAAATGGGATAGCATATCTTGGGGTCATCAAGATGATTGCTACAGACATATACTGTATAATAAGTCAGTAATATTTTAACATAATGTCACCACAAGGAATTACTTTCTCGCCCTGTAGCATTGCTGTCCATGTTTCCTATCATTCTGAGAATGCTTTGGAATAACAAGAATCCTCCATAATTCTCCCTTTACTGAGACAGTTGACTCCTTTGAATGGCATGTAAATGTACACTGACTGTCCAACATTTGTCTTCTGTAGCAGCCTCTCGCTAAGTCTCATCAATCAACTGGCTTGTCTAATGAAGGCCTTGGACCTGAGGATGAAGGGAGAGTGGATGGCCATTTGAACCTGGCTTGAAAGTTGAGAAGTGAAGCTAAACAGATATTTGAGGAGGACACCAGGACAGCAGACGAATGAGAAGAACATAACCTTGCTGGGACGCATGCTCCAGTTCAGGCATTGGGCATTACAGGATGAAATATCTCTAACTAACAATTCATCTGTAACTGGAAAGAGAAGGAGCTGCTGACATTTAGCTGTGATGGGCATTCTGGATGCCTGTCTCGCAAATGCTTAAATGAACAAGGCATGTGGATGAAAGTGATTAATCACTCTCGTACAGCTCCAGCTACATCTTATGACTATACAGCACAGCTTAGTTTTTTTATGCTTTAGCTTGCACACAATTAAAACTATGGGATGTTCCCAAGGGAAATATTTATGCATCCTTATTTTTCAAAAAATATCCTCTCTAAAATATAGAGAGGTCCACTGACCTACTGCTATGCTCAAGTGGGTATTTGGTTTTCTTTTAAGTTACGGTAAATTATATACCCTGGAGATTCTTGTTCTACAACTTTAATGTTAATTTTTCCAGAATTTAAACACTTACCAATCTGAGCCAAGATTGTTAAAGAGAAAAAAATGATTTCAAAAGGATATACTTTATGCTTTATTTGGCCTTCACTGGATCAATACATCATACACCTGCCAAAAACATAGACTTCTGCACCCACTGCAACAGCTGTTTTTTGTTGTTGCAACATCTGCACATTTATAAATGACAATTTATATTTCTTTGGAACATTAGTTGCACTACAGTAGCTAAACACTTTCATACAGTTGCAGTTTATTGGTTCTTAGCTAAAATATGAATGTCCACATGGAATTTTTATATGGGTTATCTCTGAGTATTTCATTTTATCCCACAATTTTAAATCATTCTGGCTTCTGTATAAACTGAGCCATAGCACAAGTGACCATATTTGTGTGAATGTGACCGAGATTAGGGAGACAGATTGTAATGTCCATGGCAGCAACTAATGTTACTAGGGAAGTTTATTCTGTGAAGCACTAATAGGGATGGGAAAATCTGCCTGCGTTTAGTTCAGCAAGGATTCGGCAAACCTTGTTTGAAATTTGGGGAATACAAACTTAGCAGCGAATTCCATTTAATTCTATGGGAGGCAAAACTTCTGGCCATGTAAGTTCTGGCCATGTTTTAGGGTTAATAGGAAAATTACTGTCAACAAAGGCATGGGAAGCTGGTCACTGCCATGGGGGACATGTTCTAATTCAACTTATTTACCAACTTACTTCAAAAATACCATGGTATTGAGGACAGCAATCAAAATACACAAATCTTTTAAATACACATGCTTGAGGGATGCTTCAATCTGTGTATGGTGTTACAGAACAGTACAGTTTTGCACGGACAGACTCAGATACAGAATATACTATTTGGATGTAGAATTTATTTTTATTTTCCAATTAACTTTACTTACATACAGCAGCAACACCCCAATCTGATTCATTTTAGTTTAACTGCTTCGTGTCCACTCTATAGTAGAAGTACTGCTACAGGGCAGCACGGGTGCACAAAATCATGTACAGTTGTGTTCAAAATAATAGCAGTCAGACATCACTAAGCTGATCAATCACTGTTTTTGGTAGAAATGATATTTCTACATGGCAAATAATTTACTAGCAGGTGTAGTAGAGTAATAGAAATCCAACAGACCCAACAGTCATTGCATGCATGCTGCTGATTCTGTGTAATTGAATCACTAATTGAAAGGGGCATGTTCAAAATAATAGCAGTGTGGAGTGTGGAGTTTTATTCGTGAGGTCATTCATTCTTTGAAAAACAGGTGGCAATTATTGCCCTTATTTAAAGAAGGAAGGCAGCAAATGTTGTACATGCTGGTTACAGTGCATTTCTCTCTGAAATTCTGAGGAAAATGGGTCGTTCCAGACATTGTTCAAAAGAACAGCGTACCTTGATTAAAAAGTTGATTGGAGAGGGGAAAACATATAAAGAAGTGCAGAAAATGATAGGCTGCTCAGCTAAAATGATCGTAAATGCTTTAAAATGGCAACCAAAACCTGAAAGACGTGGAAGAAAGTGAAAAAA